ACAGGAAGGAGGCGCTGCCGTCATGGTCTGGATACACGGGGGTGGGTTCGTCTTTGGTTCCTCCGTACAATACTACATACAGCCAATGGTCGCCTTTGGGGACGTCATAGTCGTCAGTATCAACTACCGATTGAACGTCTTTGGATTTATGACAACAGGTATTTACAAACGATCGTCTTTGTTGAAGGTGACTGGTGATAGTAGTAATTTCAGTTCGCCCATTGTACAGCCCAACAGCAGTTACATCGGGTATAAGTACAAGTTGATCCAGTCAATGAAAATAGCAGAAACTTTGTTATCGGCTCTCTGCGAGGAGTAACAGATGTTTACCCAAACTAGCGCCCGATGTCTGTATTGAGTCGTCAATGGAAGAAATAAAGCCTACGCATTGGACGGAAGCCATCAGCTGACTTTGTGCTGACGGATGCATTGATTGGCCATTAACCTGCAGTCAAAAACAATTTTTTCGCTGTTAATCGTCGAACTTCAGTGCATATCACAGTTGCTCAGAGTGCAAAACGTCTAGCCCATAGCTATGTCTGGCTCCATGAGCTGACAGAATATGGATTGTCTCGTTTTTTTCTTATACACTACAGGAATGAGGTGGTACCAGGTAACGCAGGACTTCTTGACCAAGTATTTGCTCTTGAGTGGATCAAGAAGAACATAGCAGGTCCGGTCACATTTTGTATTGTCCGGATTTAAAGTTTTCTAAAAATTTCTCATTTGTTCTGCACTGCCTGTTGGGTCGAAACATTTCATTTTGACAACTTTGAATTTTGAACACTGCCTGCAGTTAACGAAATAGACAGACATATTCATTTGTAATAATTTGAAGGAACGTGACCTTTCACATTATTTACCAAGTTCAGACCAAGTGGGCTGAAAGAAAAATCAAATTTAAAATACAGGACTGCTAATTTGAGCCAAACAACATCGTTACTGGTGCGGTCCAGAGCTGTGGCGCGATCACAGTCTTCCCTGCGTAACCAGGGGGAGAAAACACCGTGCATTCGGTTCCGTGGGTTGACATCACCCGTTCCCACAATATTTTCGTGTCCTTCAACAGCCTTCGGTGGGGACAGCGAACGGATTACCATCTTCGGTGAGAGTGCCGGGTCGGCCAGCATCAGCCTCCTGGTACTGTCACAGATGTCGCGGGGGCTATTTCAGCAAGCCATAATGCAGGTGGGTTTCTTTCCCTGACACAATCCCGCATTCATTTCGGTGTTGGGACTGAGAGCGAAGCTGCTCGTGCAAACAGACTCTTGCATCTCCCTGCTCCGTGCAATTGCTCACAAGGCTGGCCAGTGCAGTATCTAAATCAAGCCAACTTCGTGAAAGGGACGCGTTCGAAGTCAATATGGATGGTCGTTTTCTGAATTTGGAACTACTCCTGATAACTTTTGGAAAATACATCAAGACGTCAAAAGGCATTACAACCAAAGAAAGGTGGTACTTAGGCTACATAGTTCTGATAAGGACTCAGCATAGCCTGGGCTGGGAAAATTGTAACTGAATTTTGGTGCGGGCCACAAAAATGAAACCGAGTCTCTCGTGAAACAATTAGAATCTCCGATTCGTTTGTGGAATTACATTAATTGATTTTAAAAAATGGCATCTCATTTTATGTCTTGTTGGTTGCTCAGAGTGGCACCGCGTTTTCGCCGTGGGCGTTTACAGACGGGAAACGGGACCGGCTCCGACAGCAGGCCTTTGAAATGGGGGAGAGACTCGGCTGCAGTGCACCGGACAGCGCCGCTCTGGTGGATTGTCTGAGACAGCAGGACGCGATGGATGTTTTTAACGCATCAGAACCGGTATTGTTCGAGTTCCATCAAATTGCTGAGAGTTTAAACAAACCAAGTCCTTGTAAGTTTATTCAAAAGTCGTTTCCAAAAATACAACACCGGGTTTCGGTTTTAGAAAAAAACAAATGAAAAGTAAGAAGGCAATAGACGCAGGCTGCAAGCCGTGGTTGCAAACCTCAGGATTGAAATTGTCGGGTGTAACACTGGCGTATCCTCCACCTTTACGACCACAGCCAGGAATCACTACTACCGTGCCTCCGGTGGTAGTTGATGGGACCTTCCTGGACGACACGCCGGCCAACCTGTACGCCACCGGGCGGTACAACCACGCCCCAATCCTCCTTGGGACGAACAGAGACGAGGGAACTATTTTTGTACCAACTCACCCAGCTTTTGGACCAGGAGCTAAGGAGGAACCGCCCTTCCTGACGAAGGAGGATTTCGACCAAGCCCTGGCCGCAGAAGTAGCCAATTTTTTTTACGGTGAGAAAGTCTTTAATGAAATCCTCACAAATTATGGCGAAACTTTTGAATGGGCCTCGTAGTGACCGCTTGGAAGAGAAACGAGCTAGCGACAAGGACGAAGCGTTAACAAACCAATTTCCCACCAAGCATATGCCTAAGCCCACAGCTTTAATCGTAAGAACACAAACAAGTTTTTTCTAAATGGGTTTAGCCATTGTGGAATTACCAACAACCACGCACAAGCCACATAACATTGATACGCAAAGTATTTCCAAAAAATTTATCGAGTTAATAGGATCTATATTGTTTTAACTATTTTGACCTGTGACCTTTCGGCCCAGGGACCTGTCAGTAATCCGTCGTTGGTTCACTGACACGAGAATCCACCTAATGAATGGAGCGAGCCAGCGATGGGATCACTGATTGAGACCCAGATCCTTATAAAACAAGCAAGAGCATTCGAGAGCATTCCACAACCAAATTTTGAAGTTCCCACGCAAGTTATCGCGCTAAGAAGATTTATATTGTTTTGGCCGTAGAGACTTTAACTTGGACATTTTGGCTCCATAGCCACTGTCTGCCCAGGATTACCAAGAGCAATCCACAAACCAAATTTGAAGTTTTTGTCCAAAGTATTTTTCAAGTTATCGAACCGACAAGATTTTTTGAAAACATACAAACACAAAAGGACAAAGCCGGAAAAACGTCACTTCCTTTCGATTTCATGGAGGGACATAAACACGTTGGCAGTGTGTGTGTTTGCAGGGAACTCGGAGGCCTCCAATGCCCTACTAATAGAAGCTATCAAACAACAGTACGTCGACTGGTCCCATGACGACAACCGAACTGCCAATTATTTCAAATCATACGTGGAGTATCTCGCCGATTTCTATATTGTCAGCGGAACCGATCAAGTGGCGCGCTTCCACGCCCAAAGCGGCGACGACATCTTCATGTACCAGATGACACGGGTAAATGAATTTGAGTGGACTCCATCTTGGATGGGGGCGACCCACGCAGCAGACCTCTGGTACGTGTTTGGCATGCCATTTTCGCCCCCCTTTCGGCCATACATGGATCAGTACCGCGACGACGTGGCACTTTCTGTCAAGTTCATGGAATTCTGGACCACTTTTGCAAAGACTGGGTGAGTATGAAGAACCCCCCTACACACACACACACACAAATACCTGTTTTACATAGAAAATGTGTACATGTACTTTCCTTTGTTCTCCTGTGGTTAAGGAAACTTGGGGGAAATGCTTTTTCTCTAACTAGGATAACTCGTTCGAGCTGGATTTTTGATAGTGATTCCCTGGACTGTTCCTCTTCATTTTGCCACAGATAGGCCTAAATAACCTTGACCCCTAACTGCCTCTGAAACTTTTTTTGGGAGGGGGGAACATTGTGTGGATGTGTGCGAGTCCGCACTTCGCCATCGCATCCTACATCACGTGGACGTCTTTTGCGTAGAGGTCCACACTACGCATGGCACGCCCGCACCCATATTCTAGTCATGGCATGTGGGAACGTAAGATGCGTATAAGGAAAAGGAAGGGAATAAAACAAAATCGAAAACTGAAACAAAAAAACTGCACATTGTTCTAACTAGAATAGCAACTTTTCCTTTATTTTTTGATAGAAATCCCAGCCTCGATAGTCAGAATTCACCGTCTGAACCCGACATGGGTTTCTGGCCCAAGTTTACTGTCCCCGAGTTGAGCTACAAAGAGCTCGACTTGAACCTCACGATCAAGAGAGCCCTCAAGAGCCGAGAATGCCACTTCTGGAACATCTTTTCAGTCCAGATCAGGACCATGCTGGGTAACTGATGACCTGGAAAGCTCATGTTTATTTGAAAATAAAGGGTTTTAAAAATACGATCCCTCTAAAACGTGGAATATTTTATATATGTGTGAATCTTTAAACTTTGCCACTCTTCCATGCAGCCCATGAGCAGGCACTGATAACATTTTATAAGCGTCATAACTTTGGCATATATAGAAAAGTCCTGGAAAAGATTTGGTCTGGGGTCTTAGCCTTAAACTTTGTTTGTAATGCCAGAGGGACAGGTTATCCATTTTACACGCATTGTGTAGCTGCCGATTGTAAAAACCATCCTAACTTTGCTGTGTGTGCCAAACTATATTTAGGTACAAGAAGGATGTTCCTGGTATGGCTTAATTTCACTTTGCTTGATAGAGAAAGGACAATTTCGAAATCTCCTTTTCGTGCGTCGATGTATTTAAAAAGAGATTTCTTTCTCTATTTCTTTGACCAGCTGACCAGGATACTGTCGAACTGGAATGGAAAGACGCTTTCTACCGTTGGAAGTACACGGACATGGAAGACTGGAAAACGCAGTTCACCAAATACAAAGAGGAACTGTAAAACTTCGCTTGCCTGTTCCTTCTCGGTGTTGAACCCCCTGCATATTTTTTCCGAATGAATTGCTGCATTTCATCAAGTAAATGGGGCGGATGTGTTTTCTTTATAGTTACTGTTTACCTTAATTAAGCAACCCAGCAGAAATTGAACGAAGTTAAGGCTGAGGCAATTCAGGTGAGTGATTGTCCAAATATCTGACTTTCCATTGCTCAAATATTCAGTTTTATCAAATTCCCAAAAAGCAGATGAAACAAAATTAGTAATTTTTGGCTGCACTAGGAGCCCAAGCATTCAGCTGCCTTATGTTTACTCAGATATCTTGAAATATACTTCTAGAGTGCAACTTTGCAACCTAGTAAATAGATTTTCCCCCTTTTGGTTTCATTGATATTCACCTCCGAGTATTCCATTCAAAAATTAACATTTTAATATCGATAAAGGATCGAATATCCAAATATTCGAATAATTGACACAGCCTGTTTGGAATATGCAATACTTAATGTGATATATTTTTTATTTAATACAGCGTAGTAGAAATAGTAACAGTTTTGTAAAAACCGAAATAATGTAGATACAAAATGTATTCCGTGCTGAAGTTTTGTTCTATAGATATTTCATAAACGATAAATCAAATCCATTTAATTTCTAAATAGAAGAAGGCTTGGAAACACATAACCAATTCCTGCCCTTCTCTATAATACCCCCCTCAAGACGCAGTTACACTATACAATACGCATGATGTTGCACTCCTACCACAAAACTTACGATACACAAAAAATTCCGAGTCAGTCCAATGTCGTCTCTATATTTTGTAATAAATGGCGTTCTTATCTCACAATTCTCATTTACGAACTGTTTATATTTCGATGTGTATTTTCAGTTCTTGAACGGTATTTATTCACTACATGTTCCTGCCTGGCTAAATATTTCCTCTCTTACTAGCTCTATCTTTATTTTTTTATATGTTGATTTTTGGTAATTTAATCATTTTCTCTGTGTGCTTTTCCATAACTTGTAATGTTAAATGACTGCTGTTTGGAATCAGAGTCCTTCGTTTGGTGATTTTTGCGCAATGATAAACAGCAGCTGTAGAAGCAGGGCTGTGAAGGCGACAAGATAAAAAATACTCCAAAAGTGAGCCACTTCAGTCCTATTTCTTGAGCAAGTTCGAAGCTCTTTGTAAATAAATATAAGATTCAGCTGTAGATGTGAATTTTCTTTTAAATGATCTTGCTTGTTAATGTGGGTGCCATAGTCCACGCTACATTTAGTAAAACCTTAGATTTCTCCACGACTCCGATTTTTTTCTTTAATTAACCATGCAGACAGCACATCAATATTGGGCCCAATGCGCTGTTCATACAAGTTTCACATATCGTTTCTACTGGTCATATTGGCGATTTGTAGCAAATCTTTCATCGGTTTTCTGTCTACTTGAAATGCAAGTTCGTTGGTATCGTTTGCAATTACTGTGACACAGAAATGCACTGTCTGTTCACCTTCTGTTTGAAGTTATAATGTCTACCCACACAGTCTCAGGCTGTCACGGCACCGCACACGATTCTGTGTGTGACCTGCGTTTGACCCCAGGCCACAGTGAATGAGTAGTCATGATATTGTCGTTGTACGTCCGGGAAATTTCTTGTTTACAAGCTGACGATATTTCCAGTTATGTTTGGGAAGTTTCTTGTAAGATTAAGTCATGCTAAATTGTCTATTTTAAGAAACGTACGTAATGAGAAGGTGTTACATGCGCCTTAGAAGAAGAGCATATTTTCCAGTCCTTGCGTGCATAACATTCCTTTGGCTTAGCATTGTGACACGTTCTCTTATAAACGTGGGTGTGTCGGTGCAGAGCTGTACTTTCCACGAGGGGCGTATCATCTGCTGCCGCTCTCCAGCCTTCCACCGACCGTCAGCGGCTCGTGTGGCCCACGCCAAGGGGCCGTGATACGGTCAAGACAAGCCAAGATCAAGTCGCATCAAGCCCGAGCTTCCGCTTGGATTCTTGTGAGGCCCGCTCAAGACCGAGACCTGCCGCTCACCACGGTCTATCAAGACCATGATGGTCAGCCTGGATGACCACCATCTCCCGCTTTGGACCCAAGACCAGCCGCTGCGGCCGTACCAGGCTCCCATCGCAACGCCCCTCGAGGGGCCCTCCGGACATTTCAGTTGGATACTGGTATCCCTTTTATTATTTCAGCGCATTTATGATTGTAATTTGTCCTTTGTAAATAGAATACTTTTGTTGAGTTTTCTGTTTTTCGAAAGATCAATTTAATTTTGATTAGGTTAACCTTTGTCTCCGCAGTCCTTCCTTCGTGAGTTCTGTCTTTTGAAATTCCTGTGTTGAGGTAATCACTGTTCATGCTAAAAGATATCTGACTTCGTGACAGAAGGAATTTCTGGAAGAATTCGAGACTCGAAAAAACGAGAAAAACAGAGAGTCTACTGTACGTGGGCTGTGAGAAGTCTCCGACTTGTTGACTTCTGCACCATTTCAACCTGTGGAGCGACACTTGTAAGAAACGTTTGTCCAGGCCAAGTGAAGTGAAGAGCTGAATTTTATTCCGGAAGAGACAGCTTGTGAATTGAATCTAGTGTCATTTTGTGGGATCTCCAAATTCCCGTATTTACGACGGTCACCACGCCCTCACCGTTTTGTCTCGATCCCGGTTATTCTTATTCGACGTGGTCTTCGTCCCCGTTGCAGCTCATTTTTGCACCGTCAAGGACAGAACTGTTTTTCGCCATCTGTGGAGCCCAGCATTCTTCACTGTAGTGCTTGCCAAGCTCTCACCCGTAAGATCACCTTGTTTAAACGAGATATTCCTTATCATTGTAAACTAGTTCCAATCAACATTTTCTTTGTTACAACTTTCTTTACGTGCTAAGTGTATACATTCTCATGAAATCATACTTGTTTATTTGTTCCTTATATCAGTGTAATCTTCTTCGATTTCTCTCTTGCATCGGAGAAAATTCAAACTTAAGTATAATTAAATATTTTAGAGTTTTTCGGATCGTCACATTATGAGCAGTGTGACTCCAAAAGCAAACACTTCGACACAGTTTGCACTAATCGACCTCAACGACGTCACTGATTGACCTTGCTGATAAATAAATTCTCTTCATGTGACTGGTTCATCTTTGGACCCCTCAAAGGACTTTGACATGAAGACTACAGTATCATGACTGCNTAACTGACTATGAAATAACAAGACTCGCCTAAAGGATTAGTTCAAAGGCTCCTGACAAAAGGAAGCAGCAAATCAGTCGTTCACTCTTGTATCAACCAGAAGGCTTCTTATTTTTTCAAGATGGCTGCAATTTAAAAATTTCCTGCAACCGTCAGTGTTTCCACTATTCAAGGACACTTTTAAAATGAAAGACAAGTTTAATTGGACAAAAGAACTGGACATAATTATTCATAATGTCCTTTAGTGTTGTTTTGACCTACAATGAGCAGATTGAGATGCATTTAAGTCAAGATTTATTTTGGATGAGTGATTTTACACATTAAATCATATTCCAAATGTCAACTCTTAAAACCTACAAGAATACACGCCAAGGTATAAATAAAAATGCGTTTGTGATGAAACCGAACAAAACTATTTTGGAGCTTATGATGAGCATGCATGTGTAACAAAAAATATCGGTAGCGCTAGACTGTTTCCTACCCCCTCCCCGCATTTTTCTAAGTCCGAGTGCATCGATGAAAATAGTATCGGGAACCAGACTACGGCCGCGCGAGCGAATTCTTTAAACACATGCTCGAGCATGAGAGGCGTTTTATAAACGAGTGGATAAGGCTTACTCGTCTGATTCCAGCCATTTGATGCAGCGTTACAAACTGCATGCGAGGCTCTGACTGGAACCAGCGAAACCGAAGACCAAGCCTAACACATTTGTGTCGAAACGCTCCTAGTTCTGGCTACGAAGTACGTGTACATACAGTATGAGCAGACAGATTCCGGTGAAAATTGTGCGTCATTCATGTGGTGACCAACAGAGTCTATACTCAAAACTTCGACTCACTTATTTTGCAAGTTTATTTTCCGATGAATTTGTGGACTTTTTCTGTGTTTATTTTTGGCTGCATTTTTCAAAAATAAATTATAATAAAAATGTCCAGGCGGCCTCCAAAAAGGAAGCGGGCGGGGACGAGCAGCATGGTTTTTTTTTTTTACTTCGCCTTAGGCGGATAAAAACCACGCGCAAGCCTTCACGTTGCATGAAATGTGATCTAATAAATACCTTCATCTAATTCGTTTGAATGGGTTTTGAATACTTATTTCCACATTCGCTCAAGGTTTTATGAATCTGAGTTTGGAAAAATTAACAGACACGTGGCACCCCAACTTTGCGTCATGCATCATTTTGACTGGGGTTGTTACTTGACCTAACATAGAAATTGAAAGGTCAGGGAACCAGACTGATCAAATATTAACCACATTAATTGCGAAATCATATTCGCTACGTGATTTCAACAGTCCCAGACAGACAGTTATGAGTGTTGCGTCGCACGTGAAGCTACATGAATTTTTGGGTCCAATTCGGGCGGTGTCCACAGCCAACTAAAGCAAACTTCATAATAAAGGGAACCATTCAACGTCAAACATGACCAAAGGCCTTATATTGGTGCGAGTCATTCTCGCCCTCTGCACTGTGGTGGGGCCGAGTGCCGCTCAAATCCAACCAGAGGTCACGGTGGAAGGTGGCAAACTGATCGGTACCACCGAGTTCTTTGAGGAGTCGGAGTTCTTGGAGAACAAGACCATCGACGTGTTCAAGGGTATACCGTTCGCCCAGCCACCCGTGGGGCCGCTGCGTTTCAAGCCCCCGGTGACCAAAGAGCCCTGGGACGGGACCTACAACGCCACCTACTTCAGAGATTCTTGTGTTCAAGCTGGAGTGCTGAGCGATTTACTGCCAAATGTCAGTGAAGACTGCTTGTATCTGAACATCTATGCGCCAAGACCAGCAGTCGTAAGTGACGAAATCGTTAGTTTTTCTTTCTCATCAATAACACTCTGAGGGTAGGCCTACACAAAATGTTGAGACTGAGTCAAAGCCAACAGCATGTAACAACAACGTAACTAACAACATCGGCAACAGATTTTCATGACGTGACCTCTAGCTGTAGTAACATGTACACACGTTGAATGACATGGGAAATACCAATACTGACTTAACGTACAGTCTATTGTATATTGTTATTCATGTTCTTTTTAAGTAAGAGGACGCAAACATGTCTAGTTTGGCCAAATCTGATTGAGAGATTTCCCGTATTCTGGCTTAATTAAAGCCACGCAGTCACTTTGTTTGTGTTACGTGAGAGCATGTGCTATAGCAGACACTCCGTATCAATGATGAAGAATTATAAAAAAATTAAGCAAACGATTGTAAATCCTACGCCTGTTTACAGGAAGGAGGCGCTGCCGTCATGGTATGGATACACGGGGGTGGGTTCGTCGTAGGGTCCTCCGCACAGTACTATGTGCAGCCAATGGTCGCCTTTGGGGACGTCATAGTCGTCAGTATCAACTACCGATTGAACGTCTTTGGATTTATGACAACAGGTACGATCAGTTTAGTTTAAGGGGATTGCTATGTACGTTCCTATCCACCTTCTGCAAAAGCCCCCCCCTCCCCTGTTGAAAAGAGTCATGCCGGTCGGGAGAGTCGGTTCGTGCACACAAAGCAGGCATCTTATAGTCGAACCAGTGAAAATGAAGTTCCTACCTTAAGCCTCCATTGCTAGGAAAATCTCGCCCTCTCGTTGTCTAGCTTGGGGCCCTTAATGGAAGTAATTTCGGTTCACCCATTGAACAACCAGGATATAACAATTACATTTGGGCATCAGTACTTTAATCCAGTCCATGAGAACAGCAGAAGCTACCTTTTTTATCGGGTATTTACAATGAGAAGGTCTAACAACTGTGTATAGTGACGGAAACCCAAACTAGCATCCGATGTTTGCGCGCAGTTTTCGGTGATTCCGTTGCCAGTAAATCTGACGGAGTCGTCAATGAAAGATATCAAGCCTGCTCATTGGTCGGAAGCCGTCAGTTGACTTTGTGCTGTTGGATGCAAGGCCGCTGATCGGTCAGCAACCCGCGGTCAAAAGTAGATTTTTTCCCGCATTTAATCGCCGAACTAATTCAAAGCCTATCGCAGTTGTTTAGTGTACGAATGTCCAGTCGACGGTGTCCTTTTGCATGAGCTGATAGAATATGTATTGTCTCATGTTTGTCTTGTCTACCACTACAGGTGACGAGGTGGTACCGGGCAACGCAGGACTTCTTGACCAAGTATTTGCCCTTGATTGGATCAAGAGAAACATAGCAGGTCCGGTCACATTTTGCATTATGGAGATTCAAAGTTTTCTGAAAAAATCTACGTTTATTTGCACTGCCAGTTTTGAACATTGGGAAGAGAAAAAAATCAATCATTTGTGAGGACATTGAAGTTTTAACACTGCCTGCGGTGAAAGATTTTTAAAAATAATTCTTTCATAGAAAACAATTTGAAGGAACGTGACCTCTTATATTATTTGCCAAGTTTATACCAAGTGACTCGAAAGGGAAATCAAATTTAAAATATAAGACCGCTCTTTTGAGCCAAACAAAGTCGTTACTGGCGCGGTCCGGATAGGTCCAGTATACACACGGCTCTGGCGTGGTCAACGTCTTCCACACGTTGCAAGCGGGAGACAACCCATCCGGTCCGTGGGTTGACCCCCCTACCTACATTTTTTCTAATCCTCCAAATAGCCTTTGGTGGGGACAGCGAACGGATTACCATCTTCGGTGAGAGTGCCGGGTCGGCCAGCGTCAGCTTCCTGGTTCTGTCACAGATGTCGCGGGGGCTATTCCAACAAGCCATAATGCAGGTGAGCATTTTCATTGAGACAATACCTTAATTTAGAACAAAATATTCCAGAATTTTTGGAAAATATATCAAGATGTCAAAATGCGTTATTTAGGCAAAGAAAGGTGGTGCTTGCATATTAGAACTAGCACAGCTCGGGCTGGGAAAATTTTAACGGCAGCTCAGTGCTGACTACAAAAATGAAACTGATTCTCTCGTGAAACCATTGGAAGCTTCGTTGGTGGAATTAGTTGATCAAAGTAATGACACTTCATTATTACGCCTTGCTTCTCAATTAGAGTGGCACTGCGTTTTCGCCGTGGGCGTATACGGGCGGGAAACGAGACCGGCTCCGACGGCAGGCCTTTGATATGGGGAAAAGACTCGGCTGCAGTGCACCGGACAGTCCCACTCTGGTGGAATGTCTGAGACAGCAGGACGCGGTGGATGTTTTTAACGCATCACAACAGGTATTGTTCGAGTTCCATCAAATTACTGAAAGTTTAAAGAAATCAAGTCCATGAAAGTTTATTCAAAAGGCATTGCATAACAGCACTGGGTTTTGGAGGAATAAAAGGCAATTTAAAATTACGAAGCCAATAGAAGCGTCTGCAAGCTGTGGTTGCAAAGTGAGGATTGAATTTGAAGGGTGAACTACTGTGGTATCTTCCACCCGTACGACCGCAGGTAGGGACCGCCAATCCCGTGCCTCCGGTGGTAGTTGATGGGACCTTCCTGGACGACACGCCCGCCAACCTGTACGCCACCGGGCGGTACAACCACGCCCCAATTCTCCTCGGGACGACCAGAGACGAGGCAACTGTTTTTGTGTCAAGTAACCCAGCTTTTGGTCCAGGGGCGCAGGAGGAACCGCCCTACCTGACGAAGGAGGATTTCGATCGAGCACTGTCCGCAGAAGTAGCCAATTATTTTTACGGTGAGACAGTCTTTAATGAAACCCTTACAAATTATCGCGAAACTTTTGAATCGACCACTTGGAAGAGAAACGAGCTGGAAACAATGACAAAGTGTTATCAAACAAATTTCTCATCGGGCCTATGCCTTTTAATAACCCACCACAGCTTTAAACGTAAGAACGCAAAAAGAATTGTCTTAAGTGGTTTAACCAACTGATCTTTTAGTCTAAAAAGCAACAGGCTTGTGGATTTACCAAAAACAATGCAAAAGCCATAATGATACAAAATGCAATAGGCTGCTCAGGATCACCGAGATTATTCCAAAACCCAATTTTGAAGTTCACGCGCAAAGGATTTCTCGATTTGTCACCCCGGCAAGATTTGGTCCATACAAACGCAAAAGGACAAGGCGGGAAACATGTCGCACCCTTTCGATTTCGTCGGCGGACATAAACACATTTGCATTTTGTGTGTGTTTGCAGGTAACTCGGAGGCCTCCAATGCCCTACTCATGGATGCTATCAAACAACAGTACGTCGACTGGTCCCAGGCCGACAACCAAACCGCTAATTACCTCAAATCGTACGTAGAGTATCTCACCGATTCCGCCTTTGTCAGCGGAACCGACCAGGTGGCGCGCTACCACGCCCAAAGCGGCGACGACGTCTTCATGTACCAGATGACACGGGTAAATGACTTCATGTGGATTCCATCGTGGATGGGGGCGACCCACACAGCAGACCTCTGGTACGTGTTTGGCACGCCATTTTCGCCCCCCTTTCGGCCATACATGGATAAGTACCGCGACGACGTGGCGCTTTCTGTCAAGTTCATGGAATTCTGGACCACTTTTGCAAAGACTGGGTGAGTGGGGACCCCCTATTGTTCCTCATTTGTTTGTACTTCAACTTTTTTAGAAGACCACCCATATGTTTTGTACACAGTTGTCAATCGGGGACCCTCTGTCAATTGGGGACCTTATTGTCCTCTATTGTTCAAGGTCCCCAAATGAATGCAGAAACAAACAAAATATTCTTGTCATGGCATGTAAGATCGTTATATCCGCATAAGAAAAGAGGAAAATAAAACAACATTCGAAAAACGAAACTAAAATCTAAAAGATCGGACTGCACAGTGCTTCTAAACAAGACTTTTCCTATATGTTTTGATAGAAACCCCAGCCTCGATAGTCAGAGCTCACCGTCTGATCCTGACATGGGTTTCTGGCCCAAGTTTACTATCCCCCAGTTGAACTACAAAGAGCTCGACTTGAACCTCACGAACAAGAGAGCCCTCAAGAGCCAAGAATGCCACTTCTGGAACATCTTTTCAGTCCAGATCAGGACCATGCTGGGTAACTGATGACCTGAAAAGCTCATGTTTATTTAAAGGGCTTTAAAAATACGATCTCTCTAAAACGTAGCATTTTTTTATGAATCAACCTTCAAACTTTACAATTCGTCCATATAACCCATGCACAGGCACTGATAACATTTTATAAGTGCCATAATGTGACATATATAGAAAAGTAATGGAAAAGATTTGCTCTTGGGTTTTAGCCCCCAAGTTTTTTTCGCAGAACCAGGACAGGTTATCCATTTTACACGCATAATCTAGCAGCCGATTGTAAAAATCATCCTTACTTTGCTGTGTGTGCCAAACTATTATTTAGGTAAAAGAAGGATGTTCCTGGTATGGCATGATTTCGCTTTGCTTGATAAAGAAAGGACAATTTCGAAATTCCCCTTTCGGGCGTTGATGTATTTGAAAGGATATTTCTTTCTCTATTTCTTTGACCAGCTGACCAGGATACTGTCGAACTGGAATGGAAAGACGCTTTCTACCGTTGGAAGTACACGGACATGGAAGACTGGAAGATGCAGTTCACCAAATACAAAGAGGAACTGTAAAACTCCTCCTGCCTGATAATTCCTAGTATAGAACCCCCCTACACAAATTTGCCGAATGAATTGCTGCATTTTAGCAAGTACATGGGGCGTGAGCTTTTCAAATGGATATTACACAAAACAGTGGCTTAATATAACTGCATGTACTATCTTGATTTACTGTTTACCTTGGGTAAAGCCGCAGAAATGGAACGAGGTTAATGCTGAGTCAATTCAGCTGAGTGAATATCCGAATATTTGACCTTCCATCGCTCAAATATTCAGTTTTATCAAATTCCCAGAAAAGCAGATGAAACAAATATTTAAAAGTGACGTTTTGGCTGCACTATGTTGGCAAGCATTCAGCTGCCTTATGTTTACTCAGACATCATGAAATATACTTCTAGAGTCCAACTTTGAAACCTAGTAGTTAGATTTTCCCCATTTTTATTTCATTGGTGTTCATTTTTGAGTATTCCATTTAAAAAAATAACATTTGAATATCAACGAAGGATCGAATATCCAAATATTCGAATAATTGACACAGCCCTGTTTGAAATATGCAATACTTAATGTGATATTATTTTTATTTTATACAGCGTAGTAGAAATGGTAACAGTTTTGTAAAAAACGATATAGATATGAAATGTAATCAGTGCTGAGGTTTTCGTCTATATTTCATAAACAAAAAAATCAAATCGATTTAATTTTTAACGTGAGGCTTGAAAACACATAACCAATTCCTGCCCTTCTCTAATAACCCCCCCCCCCACAAAAAACGCGGTTACGCGCTCTAAGACGTGCATGGTGTTGCCGGATCATGAACCTGCATACAATCCTATTACAAAACTTACAATATAAACAAAAAAATCCAGTCAAAAATCTAGTCAAGTTTGTAAGTACATTGCGTTCTTATCTCCTTATTCTGTATAATTTTCAAACCTTTTATCTTTCGATACGTCTTTTTCAATTCTTTTTGGCGTTGTACGGTATTTCATTTACCAGAAGTTCCCTCTTGGCTAAATATTTTCTCTCTTGCGCTGTTATTATTGTTATAAATATGTCGATTTTTGATAATGTAATTATTTTCTCAGTGTCCATTTCTATTACTTGTAATCTTAAATGACTGCTGTTTGGAATCAGAATCGTTCGTTGGGCTATCGCGCGCGTTAACAGCAGCTGTAGAAGCAGGGCTGGGATAGTGACAACATAAAAATACTTCAAAAGTGAGCCCCTTTCAGCCCTATTTCTAGAGCAAGTTCGAAGCTGGTAGGTGCGAACTTTTAAAAAGAAAATGACTTTGCTCGCACAGTGTGGACGTTGTAGTCCACGCTACATCTAGTAAACCCTTCAGGCTTTTCCTCATGCCTCCAAATTTTCCTTTAGCCGTACAGACAGCATCTAATCAATATCGGGCCCAATGCGCTGTTCACACAAGTTTCACATATCGTTTCTACCGTTCATGTTGCCGATTTGTAGCAAATCCTCCAGTGGTTTTCTTTCTGACTTGACATGCAAGCTCGCTGATATCGTCTGCAATAGCGGTGGCACAGAAATGCACTGTCTGTTCACCTTCTGTGAGAAGTTAGTTTGCACTAATCGACCTCAGATCGACCTCAGTGATAAGCGATTCTCTTCATGTACTTGGCTTATCTTTGGACCGCTCAAAGGACTTTGACATGAAGACTACATTATCATGACTGGTAACTGACTAGCTGAACTTGAAATAACAAGACTTTCCTACAGGAGTAGTTGACCAATCCTCGCGAAAAGAAGCAGTAATTAGGTTGAATTGTACAATGAGTTGAACGCGTACACTCTTGTATCAACGAGCAGGTTTGATTTGCAACCCTTCTGAATTAATTACTTTTGTACCTTACGTGCGAAAACCAATTAGAGCTTTCCATACCAGTGAGTACAGATCACTTGATGAACTGTTGACGGACAACTGTATGCACATTTTCACAGCGACAATAGTGCTAATCACCTTTTAAATTTTGTGATCACATACAAAATATAATTACGTTATAAGTAAACCAGTTAATAAACCAAGGCAGGCAGAAGAAAGAAGAGAGACTGCTGTGGTACGAAGGTCAGTTATTACCGATAGAAAAGCAGCGGGGAGTCATTTATCTGCACTTCAAACACCCAAGCGTTGCCTGATGACGAGTGTTTGTTTAAAGGGTGTGGTGTAAATAGTTATTTCTGTTTTTGTTATTCAACGTGTGTCACAGTGACAATATTAGAACCTTGTTGGATTCAACGTGGTCAGGGTTGGGTGGCCGAAAAGTGCCCGTTTCTAAGCGCCATTCGACAATTTCTTGAGGTTGTTCAATTTTTTGAGTAACTGGAAAAAGCCTTCACGTGGCATGAAACGAGATCTGATTTTAATACCTTCATCTAATTCGTCTTAATGAGTTTTGAATATACTTCCACGTTCACTCAGGGTCTAATGAATAATTTATGAGGCCGCGTCCGAATTACTTGGCTGTGGCTTAAAATTGCACAAAACTCTATGGAAGCTGGCTGCGGCTACTACCATACACTCGCGTATAATTTCTAGCCACAGCAAAGTAATCCGAACATGGCCTGAAGTTGCAAGGAAAAACTAAGGGACAAGAGGTACCCCAAATTGTTGACCGAGGTTGTTACTTGACCAAACACAGACAATGAAAGGTCAGGGAACCAGACCGATAAAATATTAACCAACTTAAGTGCGTTGTCATCTTTTTTATACTTGACAGTGCAATACTCGGGGACAGACAGTCACGAGTGACACGTGAAATTTTGGCTCTAATTTGGGGCAACTAAACCAAACTTCACAAGTAAAGTGAACCGTTTAACGTCAAACATGCGTAAAGACCATACTTTAGTGCGAGTCATTCTCGCTGTCTGCTCATTGGTGGGGCTGGGTGCCGCTCAAATCCAACCAGAGGTCACGGTGGAAGGTGGCAAACTGATCGGTACCACCGAGTTCTTTGAGGAGTCGGAGTTCTTGGAGAACAAGACCATCGACGTGTTCAAGGGTATACCGTTCGCCCAGCCACCCGTGGGGCCGCTGCGTTTCAAGCCCCCGGTGACCAAAGAACCCTGGGATGGGACGTACAACGCTACGTACTTCAGGGATTCTTGTGTTCAAGGCGTAGTTCCAGGCGATTCCGTACCTCCGCTACCAAGTGTCGATGAAGACTGCTTGTATCTGAACATCTATGCACCAAGACCAGCAGTCGTAAGTGACATATCGTTATGGTTTCTTTCTCGACGATGACACACTCCGCTGAGTATAGGCCAACCCAAAATGTTGAGAGTCAAAGGCAACAGAGGGCAACAACATCGGCAACCCATGTTGATAATATTGACCTCCAGCTGTCGTTTACTTATTTCAGATTCAGTCAGTCTAGGGGCATATTTCTAGGGGCATATTTTAAAAGACATAGAAATCGATAGGCTATTGTGTATTTCCATCCATGCTCTTTTGTCATGAGTAGCAAGAGGATTGGGACAAGGGCTGAAACAAGAAAAGTTAAAATCTGATGTGGTGCACACTGACTAACAGATTTCGAGTATTCTGTCTCGAGCTGAGTAATCATTTTATTTGTGTTACGTGAGCATGTGCTCCAACAGCAGACGCTTTGTATCAATAATATAAAAATTAAGCGAGCAATTGTCAATTTGTCTACCTCTTTACAGGAAGGGGGCGCTGCCGTCATGGTCTGGATACACGGGGGTGGGTTCGTCTTTGGGTCCTCCGTACAATACTACATACAGCCAATGGTCGCCTTTGGGGACGTCATAGTCGTCAGTATCAACTACCGATTGAACGTCTTTGGATTTATGACAACAGGTATTTACAAACGATCGTCTTTGTTGAAGGTGACTGGTGATAATAGTAATTTCAGTTCGCCCATTGCACAGCCCCAATAGAGGGATTTCACGACTTTGTGCTGACGGATGCACGACCGCTGTCAAAAACAGTTTTTACGCTGTGAATCGTCGAACTTCAAAGCATATCACAGTTGCTCAGTGTGCAAAACGGCTAGCCCATAGCTATGTCTGTTTCCATGAGCTGACAGAATATGTATTGTCTCGTTTTTTTTTTCTCATCTAACACTACAGGTGATGAGGTGGTACCGGGCAACGCAGGACTTCTTGACCAAGTATTTGCTCTTGAGTGGATCAAGAAGAACATAGCAGGTCCGGTCACATTTTGTATTGTCCGGATTTAAAGTTTTCTACAAATTTCTCATTTGTTCTGCACTGCCTGTTGGGTCAAAACATTTCATTTTGACGACCTTGAATTTTGAACACTGGCTGCAGTTAAAGATTTCAAAAGATTAATATGTTCTTTGACACAAATTTTAAGAAATGTGACCTTTGGCATTATTTACCAAGTCTATACCAAAAGTGGGCTGGAAGGAAAATCAAATTTAAAATACAGGACTGCTAATTTGAGCCAAACAACATCGTTACTGGTGCGGTCCAGAGCTGTGGCGCGATCACAGTCTTCCCTGCGTTAGAAGCGGGAGACAACACCCACAATATTTTCGTGTCCTTCAACAGCCTTTGGTGGGGACAGCGAACGGATTACCATCTTCGGTGAGAGTGCCGGGTCGGCCAGCGTCAGCCTCCTGGTGCTGTCACAGATGTCGCGGGGGCTATTCCAACAAGCCATCATGCAGGTGGGTTTTCTTTCACTGAGACAATCCCGGATTCATTTCGGTGTTGGGACTGAAGGTGAGGTTGATCTCGCTAACAGACTCTCCCACGTCACTGCTTCGTACAAGTGCTTATAAGGCTGGCCAGAAGTCTCTTTCTTAAGGCAACTTCAAGAAAGGAACGTGTTCGAAATCCAACCGAGAACAGTATGTCTCACCTTTTTTCAATAGTCGTTATATTTTAATTTAGAACTATTCCTGAAGTTTTGGAAAGTAGATCGAGTTGCCAAAAGGCGTTACAGCCAAAGAAGGGTGGTACTTATGGTTCTGATAAGAACTCAGCATAGCTTGGGCTGAGAAAATTGTAAATAAAGTTTAGTGTTGACCACAAAAATGAAACTGATTCTCTCGTGCAACAACTGGAAGCTTCGATTCATAGGTGTAACTACGTAACGAATTGGCATCTCATTGTAACGTCTTGCTTGTCGATTAGAGTGGCACCGCGTATTCTCCGTGGGCGTTTACGGATGGGAAACGGGACCGGCTCCGACGGCAGGCCTTTGATATGGGGAAGAGACTCGGCTGCAGTGCACTGGACAGCGCCGCTCTGGTGAACTGTCTAAGACAACAGGACGCGATGGCTGTTTTGAACGCATCACAAGAGGTATCGTTCAAGTTCGAAGAATTTTCACTGCAAAAAAGGTGGTGCTAAAACAATACCTTTGGTGTTATCAGATAACAACACCAAACTGTGTTACTTTAACAACGCTGGTTCACTTTATACACCCACAATTATTTCAGTACAGTGGAGGGTGTTAAAGTAACACCAACAGTGCTGAATCAACCTCTAAAATGTTAACACCTGTGAAAAGTGTTTGCATGGTCCTTTGGTGACACCGATGTAACAGTCGTTAAAACTTTCAGGTGTGGGCAACAAATGTCTCGCCTCCTGTGGTAGTAGATGGGACCTTCCTGGACGACACACCCGCCAACCTGTACGCAACAGGGCGGTACAACCACGCCCCAATTCTCCTCGGGACGACCAGAGACGAGGGAACGCTTTTCGTGTCAATTAACGCATTTTTTGGTCCAGGGGCGCAGGAGGAACCGCCCTTCCTGACGAAGGAGGATTTCGATCGAGCCCTGTCCGCAGAAGTAGCCAATTATTTTTACGGTGAGAAAGTCTTTAATGAAACCCTTACAAATTATCGCGAAACTTTTGAATGGGCCTCGCAGTGACCGCTTGGAAGAGAAACGAGCAGGAAACAAGGACGAAGTGTAATCAAATTCTCATCGAGCCTATGCCTTTTGATAACCCACCACAGCTTTAAACGTAAGAACGCAAAAAGAATTGTCCTAAGTGGTTTAACCAACTGATCTTTCAGTCTAAGAATCAACAGGCTTGTGGATTTACCAAAAACAATGCAAAAGCCATAATGATACTTACAATATATTCTCATATTATTGTGTTGACAAGATTTCTGTTGTTTTAACTATGTTGACCTTTGACCTTTCTACCCAAAATGCAATAGGCTGCTCAGGATCACCGGGAGCATTCCAGAAACCCAATTTTGAACTTCACGCGCAAAGGATTTCTCGATTTGTCACCCCGGCAAGATTTGGTCCATACAAACGCAAAAGGATAAGGCGGGAAACATGTCACACCCTTTCGATTTCGTCGGCGGACATAAACACATTTGCATTTTGTGTGTGTTTGCAGGTAACTCGGAGGCCTCCAATGCCCTACTCATGGACGCAATCAAACAACAGTACGTCGACTGGTCCCAGGCTGACAACCAAACCGCCAATTATCTCAAATCGTACGTGGAGTATTTCGGCGATTCCGCTTTTGTTAGCGGAACTGACCAGGTGGCGCGTGACCACGCCCAAAGCGGCGACGACGTCTTCATGTACCAGATGACACGGGTTAATGAGTTCGAGTCGACTCCCCCGTGGATGGGGGCGACCCACGGGGCAGACCTCTGGTACGTGTTTGGCATGCCATTTTCGCCCCCCTTTCGGCCATACATGGATCAGTACCGCGACGACGTGGCACTTTCTGTCAAGTTCATGGAATTCTGGACCACGTTTGCAAAGACTGGGTGAGTATGAAGATCCTCCCCCCTTCACAGACGCACTTACCAGAACTGCAAAAGAGATCGGTGCGTCACATTACATAGAATCAGTAGCGTAAATCTGTACTAGAAAATTTGGGGTGGGCGGGATAGGGAAAAGTGAGGGATGGCTTGCCCAGCCATGAAATTTGGAAAGCGGGGGGGGGACACCAAATAATTATTTAAACTATAATCATAGGGGCGATGTTCATGATAAAGATGTACATCTGTAATATGTAATATTCATGCAGAGTCTTACATCAGAATGGCATATTAATGGCTTTTAAAACTTTCTTTTCCCTTTTTAGTGATATTGCAAACATTTCAGTCGTTGGGAAATCAAAAAATTCCTCGCAATCTGCTTTAATTTGTTTGCTCATCACAAGAAAGTTGGGGAATTTTTCAATAGCCCATCCCCGCCTAAAAAAGTGTGGGGGGATATATACCCACATCTTCCCGGGATTTACACCCATGCACAGAGTTGGGCTTTTCAAGGTTTTCGATGGAGATAAAGTCCATACTGTACGTGCGCATGGAACGAAAGCGATGTCTTCATTTTGAGCCCTGTAAGAGCACATCAGAGAGGCAGTAACTACATGAAAGAAAGAAATCCCTGGGAACTTGAGAGAAAGTTGGCAGAAAGTTATACGCCACTGAGGGCGCCTACATACCGCTTGGTGCGTGCATATGCGATAAAATACATTGATGCGAATTTGGATCAAAAATCAATGCCCCCATGCATTCAGAGCATTAACTTGAACAAGGCGCGTGCAGCAAGGAAGCAGACGTGTGGGCTGGTGTCATCGTTTTATGCAGCAAGGACTCAACGAAAAGTATGCGATACATCTCGAGAAAAATGTCATTGGCGAATGGAAAGGAATCAGGTAAAATGTAATTTCCAGGCCTCTTTTTTTCCCCAGGAGACTGTCTTGCCGGTCTGCAATTGGTGATCACGCCCTCATTCAATCCACAGGCAATTAAACACTCAGGAAAATAAAACAAATTCGAAAAACAAATGCCTCTAAAAAAATTACCGACTTTTGGTCTATTTTTTTTTTAATAGAAACCCCAGCCTCGGCAGTCAAAACTCACCCTCTGATCCCAGCCTGGATTTCTGGCCCAAGTTTACTATCCCCGAGTTGGAATTCAAAGAGCTTGACTTGAACCTCACGAACAAGAGAGCCCTCAAGAGCCGAGAATGCCACTTCTGGAACACGTTTGTATTCCAACTCAGGACAATGATGGGTATGACCGATCGTTTTTATGCATAAAAGTACATTTCATATGTTTATTTAACATCGCTTCCCATTTCAAAGTCAGGCTGGGAAATACGTAAACCCCCAGACTATTATGAATCTCGCTGACCTTGCTTGAAAAGGGAATATTCCAAACACGATTCCCCGAAACGTGCAGGTATCCACCCTAAGGATAAGCACCCATTCATCGGTTAAACAGAACCATTTTGGTCGGGAGTGTTCATTTGGTTGGTAGCAACGCGATCATTGCAAGGCTTGCGTTTCATACTACCAAAGGAGCCGCGCCATTGCTAGGAAAAGTGCGCCCTCTCTTGGTCCAGCTCGGTGCCCATTACGAATCAACAAACTTTGTCATTTGTTTCCCGCGCGATGAGGACTTGAACTGTTGAACGGTTGAACCGTAGTCTGGATGCCAGAACATGAGATTCTGATATGTTATTTTTAACCTTTAAGTCCCAAAATGCGACCAAAATGAGAAAATTCCTTCAATTTCCTATCATTTGAACAAATTAAAGGCACCGGCATTTTAAAACAGGTACTATCCGTTTTCTGGGCGAGAGTGAGGATTTTACAGACGAGAAGCTTAGAAAGTTTTAAGAGAAAATTCCCATTTTGGAAACTTTTCCCTTAAGAAAGACCACCGAAGAATATTCATTCCACCGGATTCGTACATACATGTATATATTGTTGACAAGCGTACGAAACTTATGTGGAACAAATGTGAAAAGTGTGAAGCAATTATTGTCTTGCCATTTGAAAGAACTCGCGCTAATTTTAAGATGTACCCCATTGTCAAAATATGGTTGCAAACCACACACTTGGACAGGATAAGTTGATCGATCTCAAGGACAAGCGTGTGGTCACGTGGCACTTTGAGGTCTTCCGATACGTGAAAAATTATGAATGGTCTTTCGCCAAGCGTGAACGCGTTTTATCTTTTCTTTGTGTCTAGACACTTTTATCATGAGCAGGGCCTTATTCATCTGCCTGTTTTGGTCTAGTCTGGTGTGGACTGGTGTTGTCTGGTTTATTTCCTGTTGCATTGTATGATATATTTTAAAATATTTTCTCTATTCTATTGGCCAGCTGATGCGGACGATGCAGGACTTGAGTGGAAGCAATCTTTCTACAACTGGAAGTACACGGACATGGCGGAGTGGAGGGCTCAGTTCGCCAAATACAAGGAGGAGCTGTAGCGTCAACGTCATCATAATTTTTTCCCCACCCAGGGCCCCTTATTCAAGTTTCTTTTGTCTATTACGTTAGATTTAATAATAAAAAAGAGAAGTTGATTACACAGCAAAGAAAAAAGGCCCATTTAAGACTGAGTTTAGCAGACTTTCCGTGAGAGGTAATGTTTCCAAGGCATAAAATCGTTTTAAGTCTTCTTTCAAATACATGTATATAAATGATGGTTTCCCCCCGTTCATTTTCATCTTGTAAACACGGAAGTGGCAAAGCAAGAGAATTAAATTGAGTACATTCCTAGAGTTATTAGAAATTGCAAAACGGGTAGTTTTGTTATCCAAAAGCATATCAATGTTCAGGGTATTTTTAAGCCAATCAGATTTTTAAAAAGAGGTGGATATCCCACAAGTACAAAGGAGATGAATCGAAGTTTCACACCCAGCTTGACAAAAAGAGCACAAGTCATCTCTTTTACCAATTTTAATTAAAACAAGAGCTAACAGCCAAGTTTCTGTAACTCTGTATTGAAACCATCGCAATTTATTGGGCTAAATTGGGCTTTATTTATAAGGGCTAAAGAACCCGGAAAGTCTAAAAAACCCGGAAAATATAAATTTGAATAAGTGCTGATTCTTGGTATGTAGCTGTTAATAATTATGAGGCGTTTGGGAATACCACTGTAGTGAGCTCATAGTCAGTGTTTTTTTTTAATTGAAAATGTTTTTTCGGCAGTTCCTCTATTATTTCTTCGGTAATTCCTCTATTAGAGGTCAAATCTTTCTGATTTATTTAATTTAGGGGTCTATTAGTAGTTGACTCAAAGGACCGACAGGAAAACCAGACATGCAATACTTCACGCAGATCAGAATTGTGATCAGTGAACTGACGCTCGTCAGAACCTGCCTAATAGATGGCGCAAACCAGATTTGAGCTCACTGGTCGCGATCGACTCTGAAACAAATAGACCAGAACTATGAAAAAAGACATTACTGTGAGAACCAACACACCCATACATGTACTCCATTTGTCTGCACTACACTTCCTGGTTCAAATTTCAGAGATATTAATGCTCAGGGGCTTCGAAAACAAATATGACGGCCCATGAAGAGACCGCGTATGCCGTCAACCGTAAAAGAGCAGGATTACCTCTAATTCTTTTGTAAGCGGTAAGATCCTTTTGATTTAATTTTTGTAATGGAGCACAATTAACTTTTAGCTCAAATTTATCTCCATATTGATTAGTTCTCTAATTCATCCATAGCTGGTTACAGACAAGGCACTTCATACGATTGTGCAACTAAGTTCATGCAACTGTGAAAGATTAAAATTGTCTAGTTAGTGAAAGTTTTGTGGTAGAATTTTATCTCTTTTTTATTTGCAGTTACATTTTACCTGGTTTTCGTATGTTTCATTAGACAAATTGTTATTCCTTCTGACCGAAGATTACCCTTTTTAGCCTTAAGAAAAACGTTTTCCACGGTTTCATTATTAGACACATTTTCTGAAATACCCTTTCGGTTCTTTTATATATTGTTATCCAGTGGCTTATGTTTGAATTACGGTTTGTAGAAACGGCGATAATATTTCCCAGTTACCGACTTAACCGTAAAATTTCAGGCCTGCCTTTCTTGGGCAAATTGGACTGCTTTTTTTTTCGCTGGTGAGTTCAGTTGGAGTGGGTCGGTGGTGGTTGACATGATTTTGGTTGCCGTACGTTTGTTTTCAGGTGCTCGAATAACCAAAGCGAATTATTTCTTGAATGATCGTGAAAATTTGGATGTTTTGTCTGTCCTTTGGGCGATCAGGCTGTCTTTTAGTTTGCTTGCTTGTTTATCGTACGGTCATACTGTGGATGGGGGATTGTTGGGGGTGACTTGTCGGCCATCGAATGAAATTTGAAAACGGGGTTGGGTGGGGAGAGACCATAGGACACTATTGGGGGCGGTGTTCATGGTACAGATTTTAAAAATATATATACATTCCTGCAGAAGATCTTGCACCAGAATGGCATATTTATAGCTTTGAAATTTTTCTCCCTTTTTGAGTGCTATTGAATGCATTCTGGTTGCTGAGGAGTTCGAAAAGTTCTTCTCAATCGACTCTAATTTTTTTCTCACCGCGAAATACTTGGGGGGGGGTTCAATAGACCGTTCCCCACCCAAAAAGATTAAGGGATATAAACCCCCGGACTCACGCCCACATAGCCAATAACGCACAAAATTGCCACTTTCATTTACATGATGAACGTGTAACTTTTGTTAATAAAAGGGAATGATTAAACGAAACTGAAATCAAAAGAACCAATTAAAAATAACATTTTTAACTTCCTGATGAAGTCTGGAGAAAACGAGCGCGGTGGCGCTGGATGCCTAAGCTTTCAGCATGTAACGTCCAGCAACTGGTCCCCACAGTGGTCCGCCAAGGTAATACAGCGCCATCGTCGGCCATCACAAGAAGGGTAGGCTGATTGCCAACGCGAACATTACCGATCGACCAACAGCTGCCAGCGCTGTCGCGCGCAGTGCCCCCCAAAAAACAGCCCGATCATCGCACTGTGGACGCCAACATCGGCCCGCTACGTGTAATAGTTGCAAGCTGGGCCTACTTAGGCCAGGTAAGTTACAGTAGCTCCATGATTACAGCATGTTCATTTGGGTAGCTGAAATTATTCGGTCTGTTTTTAAGCAGCTCTGCGTAGCGTACGTCCGGCCTCTCCTCCAGATCAGACAGCGCGCGTCGCACCCATGACATCAATCACTTTGACTTAAGCCTTGCCGGATGACGTCCACCGCACTGTGACGGTGATATGTACCGGTGAGTGTACGGCGAATTACATGTACCGGACGTAGGCGTAACTGTACCGCATACTAGACCAGCTTTGTAACCGCGTACCTGACTGAGAAATCCAGGGAGGCTGTCTGACAGTAGTCCAGCCCACCACACATATTTTAACAATCTCAGTCAAGATTAATGAATTTCCACGAACTTCATGAATAAGGAATCGTTGTAAACGTGGTCAAGTCCTCGTAGAAAAATGTGGTAGGCAGTGCATGGTAAGGGCTTCTTCAGGCTACAGGCTGTTTACAAACATAGCCTAACAAGCTAGATAAATGTATATTCTCAAGGGTACTACCTCCATGGTACGTCTTACTCTGTAAGGTGAAAAGGTGAGTATTCAATTAAAAAAAAAACCTGGCACTGCTAAGTGTAAATGAGAGAGAATGAGAAAGTGAGACTCAGAAATTAAAGTTACATGTATGATATAGGATATGGTAAAATAACACATGTCCATGTATATATGTACATGAATGTTAAATTCTTCCCCCGGTGGAATATCCTCGCGTACATGTTTATGTCAGCAGATAGTAGGTGTGTCAACTTACAAGTGAGGAAAACCAATACTGCCTAGGGTAACTGTGCGAGTAAGATTTTAACCACAAATACATGTACCTCCTTTTAAACTCAAGAAAGCATGACCATGTACATGTACATCATGAACTTGGTTTGCGGCATATGGGGCATATCCGGGGTTCTCACAAAATGGCAGGAAAACAACGACCTTGGTACACCTTGGTACACGTGCACCAGCCAGTCCAAGGATCGGGTCACACAATCTCTTTTTAGGTACACGTGTGCTTGTTGCAGTTGTTTTCATTGGCATGGTGTGGATGTACATGTACCTGCTATGTTGTGAATTAAAAACTTCTGGATGTCCTTGCTGCCCCATAATTAACCGGTGACCAGAGGTCTGCACTTTGTACATGTACATTCGAGCCTTGTTAAGAAGAGCACTGCTAATATAAGATTCTGCTTTAATTAACAAGGAAATCTTGGGGTCCCAATTATTTGTCTTTCATTGCTTTTCTTCCTCGTAATACAAGGTTCCTGTTACAACAAGGAAAGTATGCAAGTCTAGAAGACCTCTTACTAATGAGGTTTGATTGCATATTGGCGGAAGGCCCAGTTTGTCATCAAAAGCCAATTAACCTAACGCCTTCAATTAGCTATCACTCATTTACATGTGCGAGCATTCTCCTATCACAGCATCTGTTGAATATCACACGGCATTCTGAACCATGGAAGAAATTCCAAACACTTGTGATCCACCAGCACGTGTGCCTGTTTTTATGCAGTGTACTGACAGATGTGAAACCAGATGCCTGGCCAGGCTCGTTCTCATGCTTGGCTTGGCCTAACCTTGCTGTGTTTGATTCAGGCATACTGCATGTCTACCGTATCTCCACACAAGTGATACATGCTGTCCATACATGTATACATCCTTGGTGTGAAAAGGTGTCTCAGAAGTCTACCTGTATGACAACTTCTGATGCGTAGGTATGCCAGCTGTACATATGCAGTGGACGTTTTGAGAGTGCGCATGTAATGCGCCATTGTACACACATGCAGCTTCTAGTAAAGTGGCGCCAGTGGCCTATCCGAGGGGAGGGGGGGAGACTTGCCTCCCCCCACCTCTTGACTGATTTTGGGTAAGGCCTTTGATATTTTTTTGCCCCTAACATCATGTTGAATAAGCCCCACATCACATTTGGTTTTGAATTCCTCTCCCCCCCCAACTCCAAAAGCTGGATACGCTGCCGAGTAGAGCCTTACACAAATACTCACATACATGTACAGTATGTGGGAGGCTCATGTTCCAAGCTGTCTCAGGAATGTGGCTAGCTAGCAAACAGCGATAGGCCACTGATAACATTGAGTGTACGGTACACTGGGACGACTCCACCAATCTTTCTGAATTTGTGAACAGAAATTGGGTAGTTTCAGCCAGAGTGGCCTTGCATTGGCTCCATCGTTGTTCACAAAATCTCAGAAATCTCAAGTTTGATATAAACTCGGTACAAAGTTTTCATGGTCAACGGTAGAGGGTAGAGATTTATCCACTCAAGCAGTAGTCCAATCGTGTGCTGTCTTTTACATAGTGTCGCTAACAGTACATTTGCCAGCAGTGTGTCTCGTCTAGTCACCGGTCTACCTATCCAGAAGTTACCGGTATAAAGGCAAAAACAGATTTGGACCTGTAGGTAGTTTTTACTCGTTCAATATTTTCAAGCCCCCGTTTATCGTCAACACTGGTAAACAAGGCTTCAAATGTCCTTCTGAACTATTTGAACCGGTGGCAGTGGAATATGGCCATTTTTCAGAGGAGGGGGGGCACAGTTGTCAGACCATCCGGTGTAATCCATTAATATGCCGATCCATTGAGCCCTACCCCATTATGGGACATGCATACACACCCCCCCTCTTGCTGCCAGTGAATATGGTCAATAAAGTACCATGGTGTGACAGGTTTCAAAACCCTTTCTTGCTTGAGGACAGGCAGATTGTCGTTTCTCAACCTTGGCTGGGAAGGGATGGGTCGATATTCTAATCCTTCCGTGAAACCCCGTTTGCGAGAAATTGCTTTTTCGTGATGTGTGAAAAGACTAGGTAACAGTTATGTGTCGTTCCTCACAGGCACACTGTTTCCTCAGATGATCTTTTAATTATTTGACACTTCTTTATGGAGGTGGAATGTTTTGAAAAAGTGCACATTTTTTTACTTATTTGTCCAGGTTCAGCTGAACAAATGAGGTTGCTCTTG